CAACTAGAAGAGGTAGAGAAGGAGATTCAGGGGTTGGGAAAGAGAACAGTAGTAGTTACAGCAGATGTTTCGAACGAAGACGAAGTAAAGAATATGGTGGATAAGGTTGTCCAGGAGCTTGGGAGCTTGGATGTTGTGAGTTTCCCCTTTGTTTCGATGATCGTTGTTAGAGAGTTGTGCTAACTCGTTGCCCGCCGGCCCTACATAGATGGTAGCCAATGCGGGGATCTGTCCGGTTTCACCTATGACTGAAAGTACACCTTTCATTTGCCTCGTACCTTTTTGGTCACACTTATGTCTGCTTTTCCTAGTGTCTGCCGACCTTTGGGATCGCACATTTGCCGTCAACTCTCGCGGGACCTTTTTATGCTACAAATACGCGTCGATTCAAATGATCAAGCAAGGATGTGGAGGACGTATAATCGGCGCATGCTCGGCAGCTGGGAAACAAGGCAGGATTCACTCCATGGCTTATAGTGCGACCAAGTTCGCAATACGGGGCATGACACAGAGCGCTGCGTGGGAAGTGAGCAAGTATGGAATAACGGTCAATGCATACGCTCCTGGTATGTAACATCCATTCATCTGTTTCCGAAGGCAATGTCGCGGTACCTACATCGACGTACAGGGGCGATTGAAACAGATATGGGTGCGTAGCACAAATAATGAATCGATTCTAGTTCCCATTGACTCCTACGACTTGTAGTTACACAATTGGTTGAAGACCACCAAAAGATCAATCCCTCTGTAACTCGGGAAAATGTAAGTCTTTCAAGCCAACCAATCATTTCCGTGTATTGACGGTGTATCAAGTGGACCGATAACCCATCTGGAAGATTTGGGGCACCGGAAGAAGTAGCCGCTCTTGTGTCGTTCATTGCTTCCAAAGAATCTACCTTTATCACAGGTAAGTCGTCTTTAAACTTATCTTATTAAAGTAGCTAACCAAAGTGGGCCTAGGACAAAGTGTGAGTGCTACCATGATCAGATTTGTCTTAATGCTAATATGCACTATGTGCTTTAGATTAGCGTTAATGGTGGGAGATACTTTGACTAGTACTAGGAATCGAGCCATGGTCCTGGATAGTTGGCAAGCACTTTTCGTTCCGAATTGTACAAGCCTGTATTGCGGAGAAATGAAATAACAAGAAATAGTATAGTAATTCCTTACTCCAGTAGTAAGCAGTTTGGTAAGACTAGTCTCGGCCACTGTTTGGATCTGGACTCGGCTTCTTGCACTCCGCGATTCGGAATATGATCGATACCACTAACACGCGTCCTTCTAGCTTCTAGACCGTCTGCGTTTCACGAACGTATTACGTCTTGCGATTCAAATCGGAGTGTCTGAGCGCTGGGCGTTCAAACTTGGCATTTTCCTGCTCTTCATTTTTGGCAAGGTAGCGTTCGCCTGGGATGTAGTGAAATGGACTTCATCTCCGTCCGGTTTTTTTTTTTCATATATAGGCTATGTGGGCCAACGGGGACCGTCCATCATTCTTTGACTAACTACCATGTCATCCCCAATTTCGCCCTACACAGGAACAGGTGTCGCCTTGATTACAGGTAGCTCTCAAGGCATAGGGAAAGCGATTGCGCTGCGGTTGGCTCAAGATGGATTCGATATTGCTCTCAACGATATTGCAGCGAAGATAGATCAGCTAAAAGAGGTCGAGAAAGAAATCCAAGACATAGGAAAGAGGACAGTGGTGGTTACAGCCGATGTATCCAGCGAAGATGAGGTGCAAAGGATGGTAGAAACAGTTGCACAGGTACTAGGAGGACTGGACGTTGTGAGTTTCTTCTCAATTTCTCTGTGATTGGCTGGTTGATCATTTGGAACCAATTTTAAGATGGTAGCTAACGCAGGGATTTGCCCGGTACTTCCTATGCTCGAAAGTAGGGCCTAAAATTTTTTCGGATGGCTTCAGTCATATCGCTGATGATTTATGGAACCTAGTGTCAATCGATATTTGGGAACGCACGTTTGCTATCAACGCTCGTGGTACTTTCTTCTGCTACAAGTACGCAGCAATTCAGATGATCAAGCAAGGTCGCGGTGGGCGTATCATTGGTGCATCTTCGGAAGCTGGCAAACAGGGAGTCAAAAACATGATGGCTTATTGTGCAACGAAGTTTGCGATCCGTGGAATGACGCAGAGTGTTGCCTGGGAAATGGGCAAGTACGGCATTACAGTCAATGCGTATGCTCCTGGTATGTTACGTGTCATACGGCCTCGAGCTTAAATATGTTTCATCTAACTCGAGTTATGAACTAGGGGCAGTCGTTACCGCTTTGGGTGCGTCTTTTGGGATCGCTAACTACTTTTGCTTACGCCGCAACATTACAGCCATGCAGGCAGCGGATGCTCATGCAAAGTTGGATCCATCAATGTCTATGACTACCGTGAGTCCGTCTGTATGATCTGTGAACCGTGTTTTAATCATCCAATGAATAGTGGGAAAACGTCCCATCCGGAAGATCTGGGCAGCCTGTGGATATAGCGGGGATCGTTTCTTTCATTGCATCCAAAGAATCGAGCTTTATCACTGGTAAGTGTTTACGAAATGAAATCCCATAGTACTTACGTCTGGTAAACGATGGTTATTAGGACAAAGTGTGAGTCTAAAGTGTTTTGCTATTCACATTGATACTAACTTGAACGAAACTTCTGATTTGCAGATCAACGTAAACGGCGGAAGTTACTTCGATTGAATGTGTTCGACGAGACTGTTCGTTTACAAGATTGGTCTTTCTTGTGGCACTTGGTGTAAATAACCCTTGATCAAAACCGTTGAGGTCGCCGCTCATAGTCATCGACAATTGATTCGCTGATGGACCAGACCTATAGGTGGTCAAAGAGCCCAAGCACAATTTGGACTCCACCCTCGTTTATCGTCGCTAGCGTGACAATAATTAGGTATCTGTCCTCACGTGAATAGCTATCGGCGAATACAAGTCTCGGCATGGATTGTCAGACGTCTAAAGCTGAACAAGTCCAAGGGTAAACTACGGTTTATGATCTGATCTGGCGACGTAATCTCGTTCGCAGCGCACGCAGTCCTGTAAACACCACTACAATTCTGTAACTACATCGAGCCGAATCTGATAGTTGTACAACGTTTGACGAACATCATCCTTGACCCTGATTGTTGCGGTATTCCCTCCATTTCTACTTCTACCTGTACGCCGGCTCTGGGGAAGTACAATGGTAACATTCAGCCATATGAAACCGGCAGTCGATTGCCAGAAATTCAATTCGAGCTATTATTACATCGTTAGTCAAATTAATCCTGGAAACGGTAAGCATGCGCACTCGGGGCTTCCTAACCAGCGTGTCGAACACATCTTCTAAACAATCGTATAGAAGTTGCACAGCATGCGAAGAGGGTATCGCCCATTCGGGGTAGTGCGCGACGATCTGAGCAACCTCATCTAAGAGTATATCCCGTATGTATTCCTCGCGAGGTTCGGCCATAATCGACGATACAATGTCATGCAGTTCGTTGTCAAGGCTAAGAACAAGAAGCCTTTAAAATGATGACCGATGAAAGTAAGAATGACGTACGATGACTGCTCGCCCTCGTCATCTTCGTCAGCATCCTCATCGACAGCGCCAAACATTGGAGAATCCAACAGCTCATCCCAAAGTTCCGGAGCAAGACAATACGCCTGCTTCAACCTCGGACTTGAAAGAACCCTCATGCTCGTGCGCGCATCCCTCTGATTGATATACTCCAGCTTCCATGATTGTGCCATCAAGAACTCCTTCCTTCCTAAACCTGGCTCGGCCTCGACTAAGTCTTCCACAGGTGGAAGCTCAACGGTCCAACACTGTTCGTCGCCAATATATCGCGTGAACATGTGAAGATCGGTATTATAATCGAGGGCAGTCATCGGATCTACTGTGTTAATCATGTGCCAACCTCTACCTTGGTATTTCATCCTGGCTCTATGTGCTTTGGCTTCACGTTCGCGAAGACGACCGTTTCGTAGCGAGATGCGTTCCCTGAATGTTGAGCGGGGGTAGAGGGAGATAGCATGTGTGTAGGAGATGACGTTCATTACAACGGCTAGAATTCGAATGAGAAAAGAGGATAAGAAAGCAGGCAAATCACGTACTGGAGTGGTATCCCAAAATCACCTTGATCGGGTTCGACTCGCACACGATAACCTCCACCTTTCTCCCATCATCTCTGGTAAACGTAAACACATCTACCATCCCAGCAATACTGTATCTTGGCACTGCATTTTGCTGCACGCCAAAGACAGGGTCCGGGGCCTCGAATCGCTCGATAGCCTCTTCAATTGCGCGTTGCAAGTTGAACGGCTGCTGCTTGAACTCGGATATGTAGGGATGAAAATGGTAACCTGCGCTGACGAGAAAATCCATGAGGATGGTGCAGTATTTGACGTTTACATAGAGATCTAGGTCGGATCTCGGGTAGACTTGTCGTTCGAAGAAGGATAAAGCGGTGGACCCTGATATTAGCACGCCATAGACGTACTGAATAATACGGAAGCACCGAATATCTTCGAGGGAAAAGTAGGGAAGAAGAATGTTCTCAATTCGGAGAGCACGACGGTAGAATTCCTGGACTGCGATATGGGCAGCTTTGGAGACCTTGGAGTAGCTGAAGAGATCGTTGAAAGATAAGTCGCGAAAAAGAAAGTCGTGGGTTGTTGCTGGGCTGTGTGCCGGAGTGAATAGGAATTCTCGCAGAAACTGAAAGACTTACAGGTCAACGATGGTACGAGTGGTCATGGTGGTTTGAGATCAACGAACTTTGATAACGATCACGTTGAGAGTTGAACTTTCGGATAAGATAACATTGAGCATAGATAACAATTTTTTTAGACCCAGGGACCCGTGTAAATTTATCGACCTATTGTATATCCCAGCTGCATAATTCAGTAACCACAGTGGCCCGGGATATCGATGCTGAAAGAAGGAGCGTATATGTGGTTTGGAGCAAAGGAGACGTAAAAAATCGAATAAAAACGCTGGGAGCAGGATTTGAACCTACGCGGTGAAACACCAAGTGATATTGGTAATTCAAATCACTCGCCTTAACGACTCGGCCATCCCAGCTGATGTCACGGTTGCCGGATGATCGAGCCAATTGTCAATGGTGGACAGTCGATTGTCAAATGTCGCTTGTTAGGCTTCGACTTATAATTACTATTAGACATACAGTTTACATGAGAATCTCATCTACTAGTGCGTGAACTCTGCTACAGATAAATAGGGAAATGATAATCATACAATGTTGGAAGCCAAAGCGGGATACTGATTTGATACTGGTACAGTGTCCTTCACCATTATAGCATTCTGTTTAGGAAATGAACTATTCGGATTAATGATTTTCACGAGCTACGTACCTGCAGTTGTACTTTTCAGTCAGTGGTGGTCCTTCCCAAATTGCGGTCCTATCCAACCGTGTGGATCATTTCTATCAGTGGCTGGGCCGAGATACCACACAAAGCCCGCAAAAAATCCCATTGTAAGGAGTAAAAAGAGTAGCGCCTTGTATGGAGAATCGTTTGTGACGCTATCTTCACGTCGCGATGAATCCAGAAAAGAATCATTGTCTTCCAATATAGGCCGAGGTGGTGGAATTGGGAATTCTATGAGTGGCGTCGACGGATGTCGGTGATGATGGGGGTGGTTGTAATGAGTCGGGTTTTGATGAGTGGCAAAAATGTCATTGTACGTGGAAGGCTGAAAATCCTCGTTCCAGATATCTGATGAAGACGATATGTCGTGATGCTGGCTCGCGTCGAGATTATCAATATGCGAGTATGTTGGAGGCGGATCGTATGCGTGTGCCGGTTGATCCATCGTGTTCTTTTTTTGTGGGGGTGTAGGTGAGGAAAATATGCTGCGTTCTGATAGGGATTTATATGTACTCAAGCGGCTGTTAACCAAGGATCAGTCAAAGTTTGGTAACTCTGAACGGGATGATTGTACAGCCCAGCGTCGATGGATAGACATCTGACTAAGGCGGTAGGTGCTTAGCGACGAGAATGTTCTTAGATGGGAGTGACAGAAACTTGGTCGTCAGAGTTAGATCTAGAAGACATTCGTAGTGACGCATTGATAGTACATCAGGATCACCTGCCAGCGTGGTCAATACTAACACGATAGATTTGACTCGGACACCAGCAACTTCCTCGTCTTCGGGCTTCTGTCGAATATCTACTGGTAATAGGCAAATCTGGATTCTGAACGAACAGACTCATTTGAAGGAGGTCAGAGGTTAGGGGTTCGGCAAAATCCGACATCACGGTTCCTGATCATGACCCGAGAAAATAAAACCTCCTTTCACCACTATGATCGAACCCGAATTCTGGCCTCTGCATGTTTCCTCTGGAGATTTTCCTTCGGGAATGTCAGTCTCAATAACTTTTAGTAGGTAAAGTAGTCGAACGCTTTCTGCATCAAGCACAATGCTGGCCAGTGACGACAAAAGCTTCTAGGAAATTGGATGGTGATCTGGTTTGTTTTCCACGGCTGATAGCCATCTGTTCCTAGATTCGTGTCATATCTTGACGCCCATGACTCGCAACCATTGATTTCTGTAGGTTTAACTTTCTGTGGACATAAGAACGAAAGGCAAGTATCTAATAATTTCTGACCGTTAACGTGAGGCTTACGGGCTTTCGGAGTCGGGCGCAAGGCCAAGACTCGCAAAACCGGCTGTTGTTTTTCCTGGCGGCGCTTCTCGTTCACATCCTGGTTTCACGAATTTTTGAAGCCGATAATCCCCGTTTCCACTCGCTCGACGGCGTTCTGTGACCGCTTTCCCGATGCTGATTCTCAGAGTTTCCACCTGACAGACAATTCTTTAGGCGTCATTGTTCACTTTCTCGTGTAACGGAGGCGCTCTTCCGTTCAATTGTTCGGTCCACTTCCGGCTGAGATTCAACTGGTCTCAATTCACTTCTGGCGCCGTTTCGGGCAAATAAATGACTCGAAACAGCAGTACAATCTCTTGGCGGGCGCTTTTGATAGGCGTTGCCATCTGGCATGTTCCCCTGGCCGACCTGCCATATAATATGATGGGTTTACCACTGACCGCAACATCCTGTTCCTCTTTCCGCTGTCGGACTCTCACACTCTTTTGAAGTTTCAACTTCCCCTCTTTTGGTGAGTGCTGCCTCCCTCGTCGTAGTCAAAGTCTGACAGTACATCAGCCTCACATGTTTGCCAAACAGTCCCTAATTGCAGTGGTTCTGGTATCCCTGCTAGAGTATGTTTCAGCTGCCGAACTCAATACGGTAGCAGAACAATCCGCAATTTCCGGTGTGTTCCACGGTTTCTGGGTTTCTGCCAGTCAGACTGAGCCACTCTCTTTTGTAGATCCCGAACAACAATGCACTGCCTACACGTATCCCCCCATTGCTGGACAAGCTTCAAACTTCCCCTCTACTTGGAGTATAGCCTCTATTATCCCCGGAGATGAGGCTGCTCGCGCAAAGTATAACGAGATTATAGGTTCTATTCCGAAGATCGCTTCCAAGGTGCGGAACCATATTGTTCATTATCGAACACTGGAATCATTAAGAATCACAGGGAGACATCACCAAGACGATCAAGACCTATGATAGTGGCAACGATCCCGACTGTTGGTGGACGGCAACTGGATGCACTGTGGCAAAAGCACCGGGAGTGCCTTCTGATGTGGATCTGATCCCAGCTGTGCGTTGCTCTTTTACTATTTTGGGGATTCCGCTAATGTTCCTTCATTATACAGGCTTCCACCCTTGGATATGGGTTCGACGATGGACCTAATTGCGGGCATAATCAGTTCTACGATTATCTAACCAGTCAAAATCAAAAAGCGAGTAAGTTGCACCAATAATTTATCGATACTCAGTTGGGCGGCTGAGCTGTTACCCCAAGCTATGTTCTTCATTGGAAGCAACGTTTTTAACTGGCCTCTACAAGCGAAACGCGCCGCTGAAGATGGTGATTATTGTATTTTACTCCTTACCAGCTATGTCATCTAACATCATGTCATAGGACATGAAATTTGCGTTCGTGAGTTCTCGTATATTTTACGGACATTGTAGCAGAGGCTGAGCGGCATTGGTTAAGACACCTGGTCTCATAACCCCAGTGAGTGAGCTAATTTGGTGCATAAAGTATATAAACTGACACATGACCTTGCAGTGACTGGACTTACAGATGAGCAAGCGTTCGCTGAAATCTGGTATAGTAAGTACTTCAATCAAGTCAAATGAACTGACTTCTGATTATCCTGAATAGCCGTAAGTCTGGTTATAGACGTAGTAGTCGTGAATGGTCATAACCTTTCAACAGATGGAGGCCATCAAACTGATTACTGGTGTCGAGACCAAATGTTTCCGAGTAAGGGCAAGTTTTATTCGGGCCTGTTCAGATACTAACCCTCGACAATAAGCCTCCTCAAGGCGATATCGATGATCGAATCCGAGCTATTGCCGCCGCTCTCGGTCTCCGTACCGTTCTGTGGAAGTACGATACCGATGACACCATTCCCGTTCCTGGTACCGACAAAGCAGATCCCCTCGCTATCGAGAAGAATTACGAGGATTTCATTCAACTTGCTCAAGGTGGTGAATTCCAGAACGTGAGTCAACCAGGGCTAGGTACGCCATCTTCAAGTTCGGACTGACGGTTCGGATAGGTTGGAGCCATCCTTCTTGCACACGAAACGAACAACCTGACCATGTCGAAGGCCATCAAGTATTATCCGGAGCTGAAAGCCGCTTTTAAAGTAAGTCTTGTGCGCGTTGTGTGAATGATGTTTCTCAATTGCATCTCCTTCAGAACGTACTCCCAGTTTTCGGTGCTCTTTCCCTGACTCCTGGTCAAGATGGTACCTCCGGAGGCGGAGCAGCGAGTGGCAGCTCAAGTAGTACTGGTGCTGGCCTTCAAAGTGAGTCGTTCGTTGCCTGTCTAGTGTCTCTTATTCATGGAACTTGCTTTTTGCATCTGCAGCTTCTTCCAGCTCCGAGGTTCCACCTACTACCCCCACCACAGCACCAACGAGCACTCCTGCGACCTCCAGTTTACCTAACAAGGTCACGACCTCTTTGCGTTCCACTGCTAGCTCAGATAGCAGCAACCTCAACGCAAAGCAAGAGGATAACTCCAATGGAGCGACTTCGATACGCATAGGGAATGCAGTGATCGCGCTTTCAGCCATGTTGGGTGTGGTGTTTTCGATATAATGTTTGCCTATGGACCATGTTGCATTGCTGTCTTTATTTAACTTATTGTTGGGACTGTAGTTTTATCACTACAAGTATTGTACCCGTACCAGTACAGCCCGTAATCGCACTGCCTAGTACTAGTACCAGCAAGTCCGATATGCGATCCCAGCAACAGTCACGAACACAGATCCGTATTTTCTGTGAACTTCGTGGATATGTGAATAGTACCACGCTCTATGGAAGAGAATTAAGTATTCGCTGAGCTCTCACTTTGAAGTGAAATGTGTTGTTCTGATCAAAGGAATCTCCTATTGCTACTATTCTTTCAACGATGCGTCGCAGCTTGTGGTACTTCAACGTATGGGCATATGTCAGATCATTCTCGAACGCTATGAATAGGACAAACTGACCTCGACCTCATGAGGAGTCAAATCCGGGAATCGTTCGAGCAGCTCTAAAGTCTTGTTAACTATGACCATGTTCTAGATACCAAATTCCACTTTTAGTAGTAGCCTAACCGGCGAAGAGACAGTCGAATACCTCTCGCAAGATGTCAGCGCTCCTCGAGGACGCTTCACGAGCTGCACTGATGAAAGCGTGACTCAAGGTGTCTCTGAGATCCTGAATTCTTGTCGGTCGGAGTTCTTTGAATAGCCAACGTGATGACCTTGCATGTTCGGAAAAAGGTGTGGAATTTATCTGTAATGCAAAGCGCAAGGTTCCTTCAGAAGCTAAACCCTCGCTCTCGTCCAAGGCCTCCTTGTATGTGTCGATATATAGCGTACTCAAGCTCTGCAGTGCTTTTGCAGCATTGAGGATTGGTTGCAATAGTGGATATATCCCGATTGCGCGGCCGTAATCCTTGGGGAAACGAACGCTGAGATACTGAAG